GAAGTGGCCCCCCGCGGGATGAGTGTTTTCGTTCCTGGTCCGACACGGTGACCCCCGTGTGTTTAGGGGTCACACCCGCAGCAGATGGGGTAGTAATGATTTTAGGCTGCAGAACTGTAGAAATCGACCTGAGCTCAATGTAAGACATCAAGAAAGCGTCATGTAGGACTTTGACTTACTCATTCCTCTGAAATGGTCTCATTTCCTGTAGTTTTCTCTTCACCAACAGATTGCACTGGAGTAAAAAGCAGCCCATGGAAAAATTGGAAATATAAGGATTTACAGGCTTGGAAAAGTCACGGAAATGATCAAAAAATCATGGGAATCCCTATAGTGAATGCTTCTAAATACTATTTATTTTTAAGCTTGACTCTGTTATCTAATTAGCTAGAGAGTGCCCTCTGTGAGCATTATTTACTCTGAAAAGTCATGGAACAGAATTTCTACATTCTATTTATTTCTCGACTGTAAGGTATTTGATTGGCTAGGAATTGTTCATTTATTCATTTTAAAATGTAATTGAAATTCCTAAAGTGAATATTGCTATATTCAATTTTGTATACTTTATTCGATTTATTTGTTAAATTATTTAAAAAGTAATGGAGCAAAAAGCAAATATTTCTACATTCTATTTTACGCTTGACTCCAGCTTCAACAAATTGCCTAGAATTTGTTCTTTGTGAGCAGAATCATTTTATTTGTTAGAAAAAGAAAGTTGAGGAAAACATGAACATTTCTGAAGTTAATATTTCTATATTCTGTTTAACTTTATGCTTGACTCTGCAAGGTATTTATTTGGGTTGAAAAAAACTCATGTAACAAAACTTTTATAGTGAATATTTCTGTATGCTATTTGATTTTTGACTATACGTTATTTAAGTGGGCTAGAAAGTGCTGGTTTTGAGCATAACTATTTTATTTATTTATTTTTAAAAAATAAGGAAGAAAATCATAGAAAATTATTAAGTACATATTTGCTATTTACTTGCTATGCTTGACACTAGAATATTCAATTGGCTCTTTGTGAGCATATTAATTATAAATAACTAATTGTAAAAAAAAAAAAAAAA